TATATATATATATATATATATATATATATATATATATATATATATTTATAGAGAGAGAGACAGAGACAGAGAGACAGAGACAGAAACTTTTTAAATTTTGTTGTCATTTTTCTGTGGCATTCTGTCATTATTCTGAACTCAGAGTCTTGGAGCTTGCTAGACAAATGTTGAGCCACATTCCCATTTTTTTTTCAATAGGGTCTCTACCTTAAGACTGGTCTCTGATCAAAATCCTCTTCCTCAGAACCTCCCACACAAATGGAACCAGTTTCACAGTCACATACTATCTGTCTTGCTTTTATACCCTAGTATTCATTTCTGGTTTAATCTTGTGCCTTCTTTTGAATACTTCACTCTTTTTCTTGTTTTTTAATTCAAACATTTTTTCTAAGAGTTAAAAATGCCCCTGTCTCTCACATCCTGTGCCTTAGCTAAGCTTTGTGATCCTGTTCCCAGGGAGCTGGGCCCAGAGGGAATACACAGGAGTCAAGGAGACAATAAAGGGAGGAGAAAGCCAGGCGCTGGTGGCTCACGCCTGTAATTCTAGCTACTCAGGAGGCTGAGATCTGAGGATCACGGTTCAAAGCCAGCCTAGGCAGGAAGGTCTGTGAGAATCTTATCTCCAGTCAATCACCATAAAACTCGAAGTGGTGCTGTGATTCAAAGTGGTAGAGCACTAGCCTTGAGCAAAAAGAGCTCAGGCCCAGAGTATAAGCTCTTTGACTGACAAGAAAAAAGGAAAAGGGGGGGGGGGGAGAGTGTGGGAGGGAGAAGGCAGGAAGGGGGAGGGAAGGAGGGAAGGAGGGAAAGGAGAATGGAGACAGCAGTGTGAGTGCTCATGAACAGTCACAGTGGCTGATTCCCCAGGTACAGGTTCCTCTGGGGTGACACTACATGGCTCTTGTTTCCCGACAATGGAGACTAGGAGACACCAGACCCATCCTGCCCAGAACACATCTCAAGAGCAGAAGGCAAATCTTGCTTCTGGCCAAGCGTACCTGTGCGCACTTCTGTGTGTGCTAGTCTTCCACTGGACCCAACAAAAGTCATATTTTCCAGCTAGAGTCTTAAATTTGAGCTGATTCACCGAGGTATCCAACAGGTAAAGAACCACAGGATACAGGTTCCCAGGCCTTTCCCTGGGTAGAATGTTCGACAGTGGAGGAAGAACTGGAACTGAGAGATGTGACCCAGGAAGGTACAGCTGTGCCTACCAGCCACAGGGAGCTACAGGAGGCTTAGGCAGGGGGGAAGGCCCAGTGTGACCCACCGCTTAAACAACAATGGGCTTCTGGGATTCAGGCTGCACAGCCAGATGCCTCATAATCCTTTCCTCTTCCCAAAGCCACCAAAACATGGGCTCCAATATTTTCGGTTGCTGCTACAAAGCCAGCGAGGCTCCTTCTAGAACTGCTAGATCACTCAGTCCACCAGCATCCCAACACCAGCACCCAAGGTCCTTCTGTAGGTTCAGATGTGGGGGTCTGGGAGCAACACATGAGCGATTCCTCGGGGCTCCTGTCTCCCCAGTCACCTCCTGTGGCTTTATTTCAGCCTCTGGGGACTGTGGAAAGGGGAAGTTACCAAAGGCTGTAATGAAGTAGCCTAAAAATGATATTCGTTAGATGCTCATTATTGGATGTCAGTAGGAACATAATGACAGGGCAGTTTAAATGACCTTTCTCTACAAAATGGTGGGGTGGCAATAAAATACCATCTATTGTGCCAGCAGTTAGGAGAATGCAATGTAAGGGTCTAAAAATATGGTCCATACAAAGAAGGCATTTCACTGTGCATGGATACAGGTTAGTTAGGATCCGCTAGGTTATGCTGAAGTAACAAGTAAACCCCAGATTACAATTGTTTCACAATGAGTAGTCATCCTTTGTTCAAACAAGCAGAACTTGTTTTCAAAGCTATGAGTGATTTGAGGAATCTTTGAGTAGAGATGATAAAGAAGACTATTTACCAATCAAAGTATTTGGGCAAGGTAAAGGGTTTCGTCCTCTCTTTCAGATATCAACCCAGATTCGCAGCAGCATGTTTTCCGAAAGAGACACCCACACCACTCCCCTAACCGCCGGGCAGGAATCAGGGCTTGCAACACTGGACTCTGACCATTTTAGTCACAGCTTCCGCACAGTCCCTGAGCTGCACAGCTGCTAGAGCATTTCCATGAAGAAGAAGGTGGTGGACAGAAGTCATGAAGACTGATTCGGAAACTCCTTGACGGAAGAGAAGATGTCTGAGCCGTCCCTGTCTACCTGCATGAGTAAGATTCTAGCTCCTGAAAGTCCAGGGAAGGGGGAGCTGTCTCCAATTAAAGTCCTTGGTCGCATCAGAGGATGTGTCCCTCCTCTTTTGCCTATTTTCCCACTGCTGAGAGTCCCAGAAATATGGAGCAAGCTGACCCTGGCACCTCTTAGGAAGAAATGTTTGTGTCCTGTTGAAACATTCCAGTGGCTGTCTCCTAGCCACTCTAGCAAGACGAACATGCTTGCTAAGAAAGATGCTGTTGGTGGATGCTATAGGAAATGTTTGCCAGCAGGGGACGCAATTCTGCTCATCTATTGTGTAATTCCACCTGTGCCCAGGCCCAAAGCCAATAGTGAGCTGTGGTCAGAACTCTAGCTCATCAGCCCTAGAGTTCTGCATTGCACAACCAGTGCACAGACAGCACAGCTCGTGCCAACCCAGAAACCCTTCAAGTGGCTTTCCCTTTAGGCAGAGGAATCCTGAGTTCAATATAGCAAGAGGGCAACCTTGGGAGCAAAAGAACCTGGAACCTTTTGCAACTTGAGGTGGGAGTTTAGGAAAAGCTTGAGTTGTGTGCGGATTGAAAGGGAACTAAGGGAACTAGCTGGGCCAAGAGGACAGAGAAGAGTGTTCCAGAAAAGGGAACAGTCAACAAAGCTGAGAAACAAGAGACACCACCTGGCGGAGCTATAAGGATGGCAAATCTCTAAGTCCAGGGTGACTACAGTGAAAACAAGAGCCCATGGCCAAGTGCTGGTGGGTTACAGCTGAAATCCTACCTACTCAGGAGACTGAGATCTGGGGATCACGGTTCAAAACCAGCTTAGATAGGAAAGTCAG